GTATGTGTTGATTTGACTCACAGAGATAACTTTGAAGCTAGGCGCAAATTACTAAGGCAAAAATAACTGTAAACAGTGCCTATAAATGATGTATTCACTTTGAAGATCACTAATTGTGGAATATGGGAATGCACAAATTTGATTCAAATTAGGATATTTTAGGCCAATATTACTAAATCTCAGCTAAAACTTGTGCACATAATTGAAATGGCTTCCGTTGAAAACATTGATTTGGAGTTAACTTGCAGTTGCGAGGACGCGTGCGACCATTCCACGTGAACCTCTGTTGGTTGGCTCCGGATGACGATGGGGGGATGCCGGTGAGCGCCTACCGATTGGAGATCCTTATGCCAAAATTTCCCACCTCAATTCTTCGCAAGCATTCTGTGCATCAGCAACAGCAAAATAAGAAGGAGAGCCTGCATCGTCCCCATCCCACTGGTGACTCGGAGGAGATCAACTCCCCCAAGATTTGGGGTCCTGTTTGCTGGCCATGGGTCATTGGTACGTGTACTCTCACTAAGTTCAACTTATAGGCGTGCTAGAGCGGATGATCTCTTAACTTTCCCCGTGCAAAAAACTGCAAGGGATCTAGTGATTAGCTTTGCACACGAATAGTTTTCATCGTATGTTGCGGAATTTTACTGCCTCACATTTGCTGTCTGCTAGCATTTATGGTCATCCCCTTTTTTCCTCTCCACTCCCCTCTCCCAGCCCAAAAGTGATAAAGCCTATCACTTTTTGACTGTACACAATCTTCTTTGGAATAAATGGAATAGACATCCTTTATTTACACTAAGATTCTGACAATACGTGGAACTTCAAGTTTTGGGTGGAGAGCGTTCTTCTGCACACTTCCTTGAGAGATAATTCTACCTTAATTGTAGGAATGTAATGCCCGCTATGCCAGTAACTTTAGTAATATTTTAGGTGCAAGCCCTATGTATACCTAGTCCTTTGAGGATTTTAAGGGCTTAAAAATAACAGTGAACCTTGGAAACTCGTTTGTTGATTTTATCTTACACGTTCATCTCTTTGTTTCATTTGCTAATATTATTGACTTGAAAAAAGTGGTTACATGAACTCACTTCATTTCCTACTGATTTTTAAAATGCACATTTCTCAAAATTGACATACTCTCACCCTTTAGTCACAAATCAATATTTATAGTGAACCTCATTTCAATGAATGACACAACAATCTTGTATAACCCATCCACTTGACGCCCATTTATGGTTTGCATTGTCTCCATGCAATTTTTTATCTTTATCTCAAATCACAGAGCTTCGTTTTTGAGGATAACAAGTTTTTAATTGAAATCGTAGCCGCTGCAACTACGATTAGGATGTATATTTTGGTGTAGATTTTTTCATGCTTTAGTCTAAAATGAGGAGTGTGTTGAACTGATCGAATTACAGGCGGGGTATGTTGAAATACCCCCATTTTTCGCTCCCCTACATCGAGGATCGTTAACTGACCTCCAAAAATGCCACCGACATTTAGGGTGGAAGGTATTTTAGGATTCTTCCAGTGATAACTTTGCTAATACACACTGCATAAGCGAAACCTTTAATAAAGTAATCGTGTGACGGTTCTTATGGGCGTTGGATTAATCTCGTTCTGATGGTGTTAAAGATTTCAATCACTGATTTGATAAAGGAGAAAATGACAAAAATAAATGTGTGCAACTAAATATGGCGATTGACCCTGCAGCTAAAGCTTCAACCTCAGTTTCAAATAGGTTTACTAATTCTTCTCTCATCACATCCATATCCATTTAAAGCATGCACATCCAAGGGCAAAAATAACCTATTTTTCTTCGTCCACTTTATCTAAATGAAAAGCTCAGTTCACAAACTCAAATTGATTGAGCATCGACATGCTATTTTTGGCTTACAAATGGCACCAAGGGTTGATTAACCTTGTGGTTGTGCCCACAATTAGTGGAATTTCTTAACCATTTTTGTTCTCTTTATCAACCAGTCGCAAAGGACCTAGCTTACAAGAGGACTTGATTTTGCTAAATTAGATGGGGTTTTAACTCCCTTTCAGTGTCTTTTCTCCTCCTTTTATCTTTATCAGCATTTCTTGCCTTTTTTTAAATGAAGGTAGCTGATTTTCTTGGAACCAGCAAAATTCAGGCAGTGACTGAAAAGAACCTTCTGTAATATTTTAGCAGGCTGTGCTGCAATCGTTGTTTGCCGAAAATTTAGGCTCCTTCGAAGTCTATCTATTCATGCAATGTCTTCCATCACCCAAATTACGATGTTTTGAACTTTAAGAGTATACGCAGTCTTTTGACAGCATAATTTGCCTTGTCCAAGGCAGTTATCTGATCATAGCCCATGTCGCGTGGGCCCCAGAAGACTGGTTACATTGTACGCGGCAGTCGTTAGATGGCAAACAATTATCATTGTTCTTTCGTCAATATTAATGCTCCCAAGATCATCATTTTTACTCCCAAAGGAAGTATTTGCTCAATGCCAATCAAAATGTAACTGTCTTTATGGCCGATGGAAATTCCTGAGTTCTCGAGACTTCTATATTTTGCTAAAAGTTGGCAATCTAGACTGCTTTGATTACAAAAATACCTCCCTTTTTATTAAACAAGAGATTCTCATATAGTAGGGAACCACAGCAAAAGTAAGTGCTTTTGTTTTTTTTCCCACCTTTGTAGGCCTTGCTCTCATTTGCTTATTGCGCTGCTAAGAAAAATGCAAATACCTTTGCGATTTTACAAATTAAAACTTTCTGCTAACTTCTGTGTGCCCAAACAATGTGATTTTTAGCTCCTATACTAAAATTACTCAATAATTTATCGCAATAAATATCTTTTATATGCCAGCAGTGCCCAATTGTTAGAAGTTGTGTTAATTTAGGAAGTTATGGTTTTGTGTTTCCATCTAAAATACAAATCTTCCTTTCGTTCAGAGCTCCGACCTGATGCATAACGGAACTAGCTGATAATCTTTCTCCCAAGCCTTGCTGTGAACTCACCTAGCGCCTGTTCCTCATAGTCACCGAACAAAGGTTCAAGTGAAGTGACACTTTTGAAACACAGGAAAGGCAAAGTAGCGAGTCCCTTGCTTCCATTTGGAAAGGTCGTTTGAATATCAAGCAGCCGTCTTTGACTGTTTCACCAAATGAACAAGTTTTATCGAATTGCCGGCGGCTTTTATGCTGAAGCACACTTCCACTTTGATATAGGTTTAGTCAGTTCTCAAACCACTGCACTTTAGGCCCTTTGTGATCCATTTGATATTCGCGCCAACTCGATTCACTTTCATAAAATTTCATTTTAGCCAAAGAAATGAAATTACCATTAATGTTGCCATTGGCGTACAGGGAAGCGGCAATTGTTTGATATTGTCATCATTTCGTTCGTCGTCTATTTTATGCAGGATCGAACCATTCTTCATGCTTGTAAACGTCAATAAAATAAAACATGGGTGTTTTTCTTTTTGAGCACCATCACAAATAACTAGAAACTCAGTGAATTGGAGGTCTTGCCATAATTCTTATTACGATGCCTGCAAGTCGAATTGGCTTGAATTTGTAATCAGGTGGCCTCTGATTAGGTTAAAGGAAGGCCTTTGCGTTCAAATGCTTATTGACTGTTTTTGTTTTGGTTAGATTTTTATGCGGATTAAGGCTAGTACTTTCACCTTTTAAATTTATTATCTCATTTGTATTGTGCCCACTTAAAGCTTCGTCGGATAACAACGCATTCGTGTGTGTGCCACCGTCAAATTACGTGCTCCAACCACCTACGAGCAGTATCTATTCCCTGGGTAAAGTAAACGACGTGCCACAGTTGCCATTTCGCGCACCTTCTTCAGCTGATCCAATTGATAACTGGGGTGAGGAGCATAATGCTGCTGTCGCCTCCTCACTTTGTTTCTCCGAGAGCTCCGACAACGAGGCCACTAACACTTCAAGCGCCTGGTACGTGATCTACGAGGGCCGCTGTAAGGAGTTGGCTGTTTGCAACCTCACACCTGGCCAGTCCTTTCAGTTCCGCGTCCGCGCCTCCTCGCATCGTAGGAGTGTACCTACTCAACCCCACATTCGTACTTTTGATTCATCTAATCACATCCCTTGGGGTCACGCCTCGGCATCTCCGCTCAAGGTCACCACTCCCGCTGTACCTCCAATAAACCCACCCTCAAATCTTCGCCTGTTTGGCCACTCTAAACCTACTGAACTCAGCTTTACTTGGGATCCACCTGCATCCAATGGTGGAGCTCCTATTCTCGCCTACGAACTTTGGCAATCACTTTGTGATCCAATCTCCGGCAGTCCGATCAAGACTACGTCATGGTCGGAGACTCCTCTTGTGATGGGGATTACCTCTTCTGAGAGCATGCAGGATCTGCATGCTGAAATGGAACCAATCCATCCTTCTTCTTCCTCTGTGGCGGCAACAGAACCAGTGGGAGCACTTTCTGCTCCCGGTTCTGTCACTTCTAGTCCTCAGCATCAAACCAGTGTCGCCACTCGCTCACGGTTAGTCTTTGCAGGTATAGAGAACAATTGTGAGGTGCGAGGTCTTCTCTCTGGGCAGCTGTTTGCTTTTCGAGTGCGTGCAAGGAATTCGACTGGTTGGTCAGAGTGGTCTGAGTGGAGTACTTTTGCTACGGCACCATCTCCGCCATCAGCTCTTGGAGCACCACCCCGAGTGCAACCTACCTCTGCGATCAGTGCGTTAGTGAGTTGGGAAGAAGTGGAACAGACCAACGGCGCCCCTATTACCGAGTATCATGTTGAATGGCAGTCAAGTGTCGTTGAACCCTCCCAGACCTGCACTCCATCTGGGCGTGAAAATGATGAGGGATCGCTGCTTACCACTGAGACTGACAATGTTTCTAGATCAAGAAACCTTACCTCATGTTCTCCCTCCGTCGAGATGTCTAAGTGTCTAAATGATGGCTTCCAAATGGTACGTTTTCGTCAGCTCTCATTATTTTTCATTTGACATAGCTTCTACAATCCACACTCTCATTTCCTTTTAATCAACTAGGTAGAGATCAAGAATTACGGGCTGCAAACTACCTTAGTTCTAAAATGGTTCTCTATGCAAATTACAAAATACGACTTAAATCCCTGGCAAAAGGGCAAAACGTTCCAGAAATGAGAAGATTGGTTAATCGAAATTGTTCTGCATTTTGCATTTGTCAAATGTCATGGTCCAAATTAACTGTAACTCATCAGCTTTACAGTTGTTGCCCTAAATTATGGGACTAGATAAGACTGTTTTTCAGTGACCGATTCCCATTCTGCCTAATCAGTTTTCGTTCAAGGCATTTAGATCTGGAGTTTTTTAAGTCCTAAGTACTGGTTAGGCGATGCCCGAAATCTAACTCCTCTGGGGACTTTATATGCATAGGAAAGGTAATTAATCAAATGCTATTGCCTAGCAGAAGCAAGCTTTTTATCAATAGCACTACTATTTTTACAGCTTTATTAGCCTATTCGGGAAACAAGAGAACAAAGCTTTGCCATTTTAAGTTTACCCGCGGAGTTACAAAAGCCATAAGTAAGACCATTAACTATGCCAAACTGGTAAATATCTGCAAATTATGGAGGATACATGCGCTTCAACGAATGTGTAACACACCGCTTCGTTGCATATA